CCTTTGCGAATACGCTTTACAATAAAGTTTTGAAATGACGCAAACGTAAGGACAAGTGCGGATGGTAAAACGGCAAATTTATTGAAAACTACAAGGTACATATTGTTACGAAATTCGAGATTATTCCAGTTTCGATAAGAAAAGAGAAGATCTAAGCATATGCAACAGAAGATGAAGTGGAGTCTCGCCCCGAACACATTGATTGTCTGCTGTGCTCCACGCGCTTGGCAGACACCAAGACACTAGGCCCGATTAGAAACGGTGGCGTTAAAAACCACGTGAGAGAGCTCGGGAACAAAACAGAAAGAACAAGAAAGATCCGCGGGTGTTTTATATAAAGGGCCGCCGGCAGTTTTGGACAAATTCAAGGACCTATCAAGTTTTTCAAGGACCTAAGACGTTTTTCAAGCACTTTCAAGGACCTAAATTTAGCAAAAAAAATTTCAAGGACTCTCAAGGACCGTGGGAACCCTGGATATATATAATTGGTAGATAGATTGATTAATGATATAATTAGTAGTTTTGAGCTTATATTTATTTCAACTTTTGTTAACTTATGATTTTAGTAAACAATTCTACAGATGAAAAAAAAAATATTTAGGGAACAAGGCTTGGATCCCCAGGTCACGCACTCAATTTTGTTTTAAATTAATGGTAGTACTTCTTTGAGACAAATCAGAATTTTTTAATTGAATCTTAAATTTCAAAAATAAATTATATTTTTCAAAGATATCTCTGATTTATTGCAACTTTGTTCAGACATTCGTTCTAATGGGCAATATAACAACATCACATTAATGGAATAGCAAAAGAGGTTCTATGTATTTTTCTTTACGATAACAGAGCAATTTACATAGAGGTAATTTTAAAATGTATAGACTACATACAATATTAAATTTACAGGATTGCCATTAACTAAAAAGAAAAATTTTATTCTTTCTTCAGTTATTCGATTATTTCAAATCTTAAAGTAAATTTTTTTTTAACTCAAATGAAATAAATGATAGACATTATAACAAAGAATAAATGAATTCAAATAAAAAAAATATTAAGCTAGAAAAAATGCATTTTTTCTATTGTTAAAATTTTGAATATACCTATCAGTCAATGAGTTTTTATATATGGTTTCAAAAATAAAGCATAAGTCGTATCATCATAAAATATAATAGGTATACTCTAAAACAACCATAATTATCAAATAAGACTATCAACAATTGGAGAGCTTAGTGGTATAAGGTACATCATGACACTCTAAACTTTTCAACAAAATATAAATAACTGAATAATTTATTTTTTTTAAACATTCAAACACTATAGTTTTTAATAAAATTAAAAGTTTAGAGTGTCAGGTGGCTTCGCTACATCTTCTAGCGCTGCTGTTTTTAAATCTGGAAAAATATCACCTAGAATTTCTTTCACAAAGTTCTATAAATAAAAATTATCATACCTCAACAATCTTTTTGAGAATCATACGAAACCTCATTTGCAAAGCATCTGCCTTTCTCTTTAAAAGACCATGTCCTTTTTGAGCGGCTTTTAGACGACCTTTCATCACAGTCATAGCCCTGAAATTGGGAAATTTTAAGTGCTTGATTTTACAAATCTTAAAGAAGCAATTAATTCTTAATCATTCTTAAAGCATGCAGGATTTGAGAGATTATCAATTTAAAAAAAAAAAAAAATCCTATAGTAAATTGTGGTGCATACTATCTAGATAAAGCAGTAATCAATGCTGTACATATTGTTAGATTTAATGAAATAATATGTCAAAAAGTTTGAGCTGTTTTCTTGACAGGTATAATGAGTCAGTACTTATTAAGTATTTAGTACACTAACTGCAACATCTTTATACAGGGATATTAAATTTATACAATCACAATTTTACAATTAAATTTTACAAAGTCAAAATTTATTTCGTTATGTCATATGATTCCTGCTTGAGATCAAAATTAAAATGTCTATTCAAACAATAGAAAAGCATACACCAAAGGTAGGATTTGTGATTTGCTGACAACAAGGATAAGAGGTATAAGCAATGCTTAGGTTAGACATAATCCCAAAATCTTTAAAATTTTTATAAAATGCAAAAACACTTCATAAATGTTGATTGAAATTAAATTCTGGGAAAGAAGAGTCCAAGAAAAAATTCTTCAAAATGTTTCAGAGATCAAAAATTTTGAACATAAAAGATATTCTTTTTTTCAAATTTTATAAATTTAATGAAAATGTTGATTTAGTTTTCTGCAAAATTACATCTTTTATTTAATTTTAACCCTAAAATTAGTCTATTACATTAAAGGTAGATTGACCTTCCTACATATGTATGAAGGGTAATGCAATTTGCTTGTTTTTGCTAAAAAGGTGGGAGCGGTTTCCTAAATTACTAAAAATATGTTTACATAATACTTGAATGACCCCTAAGCAAGATTAAGCAAAATAACAAAAGATATACAAAATTATACAAACCCAAAATATAATTCGCACAATAATCATTAAATATATAGCTTATTTGACTTGAAAAAAAAAATCCACAAATCAGGATACGAAAATCTCTCCCATAAAAAGAATTCACAAACATGGATAAAAGACCTACTGTTTATGCAAATATTTGTTCATTTTCAAAATGAAAGAGAGTTTACATGTTAGCAGCTTTAAAAGTAACAGAAGTTTTTGAATAAAGCATAGGATAAGTTCAAGATATTTAAAAAAGTGAAGAAAAAGATTGGAGAAGTCGATCATATAAGCAATAATCAAGAAATAAAAGGGTGATATTAAGAGGAAAATTTGCTTGGAAATAAGTGCAAAATATTTATTGTCTTATCTAATACTCAAAATAATAAACATGATATATTTATTAAATTACAAAAAAAAAAATGGGTCAAAATTGATGAAACAATGAATATAACATCACAATTTTTGGGGGGTAACATTTCACAACGAATATAAATTTCTTACATTCTGGAAGGAAACACTGGTATGGTATCTTTCCCACTCATAGTGACTTATTAATTTTTAGTATAAATAGATTATTGATAGTTAAATGGTTGTAAGTAGAAATTAATACATTTGATTTTAACTTATTACAATTATGCACAGGCAAGTCAGGTGACTTGAATAATTTGCAGACCAACACCAAAAACAAAACATGAAATACACAAGGTTGCAGTTAAGTATTTACTCCTGACAGAAATTAAAACTATAAGAGCGATAAGCTAAAACTAATATCTTCACTTAAGCTTTTACTAATGCTATACACCATCATCAAAAAATATGACATAATCTAATTTTTTACTTAAAAATTTTTTGTTTTCTCTCTTGGAATATTAATTTACTTCGTATGATAACGTTTTAGACATCAAAACCTATTTTTATCGACTTCTATTCGATCATGAGTCATCGTGGAGGAGGTATAAAACAATCGATTTAATTTTTCTTCTTTCAAAAATTCAGAATTTTTCTATTTTTTATAGCTTCTATATACTATTTCTTAGAGTTATTTTCTTTTTCAGGGCATGCTCAACGGAAACGTAAAAATTTTAAGGCAGAAAAGCCAGGAGAAAATGCGAATGAAGAAGATCTATCACCCATCGCAAAGGTGTTTTTAGGTTACCAAACTGAACTAGATGCGCGCTATGACAAACATGAAAGGTTGATCAAGAAGAGCAGAGACTTAACCATCGAAAGCAAACGTATTATATTTCTTCTTCATAGAATTTCAAAGTAAGTCATTTACAAACCACAGTTATATACTAAATATCTAGCAGTATTCAATAAAATTAATGATGTATTTGTTCTGACCATAGTGAATATTGTGAGCAAATTATTTTATATTCAAGTCATTTCAAGTTAGTAACAAAATAAACTACTGCATATTTCTGAATAACGGCATACAATTCATATGGAATATGAGGAACTTTTCAAACACTATAAAGTGAATTAAATTAGTTATTTATTGTTATGAACATAGATTTTAAACTCAGTGCATCAACAAGAAAAGTTATATTGTCTGGAATTCTAAAAAATTAGCATAAACTTTGTTAAGCACTAATTGTTTTAATTTTCACACTTCATTTTCATTATTTATTGCATTATTATTAAACTACATTATTTGGAGACTTTGATTATTTAATCTAAGATCTTCAATAAATTATGGTATCTGGTAGTACTGTTATCAAACACAAAAACATACTTTCTCAAAATAAACATACCTTTTTGGATGGATTGATCATCAAAATATTAGCAGTAGATGAGGAGTTTCTTGACCATCAAAATATTAGGAGTAGATGTAATATGAAATATATGCTGATAAGTCAGTCTGCACAGCAATCAAAAGCTTGGTCCCCTTAATGTTAATTTTACTTTTTCTGTCAATCACCTTTTTAGTTCAGGAAATTTTTAAGCTAATCAAAAAAAATTTCTATTCACAATTATAATATTTGTTTAGCCAATGATAGTTACATGAAGGAAATAATTTTTAATATTTATTTATTATTTTTTCTTGTTTGTTTGATAATAGTTGAAAAATTATTAGAATTGTTATTGTATAAAACTTTTTACTCAATTTAAATGTAATTTGGAATGATATAAGAAAAAAGTGGAACTAATTCGGTCTTGAGAAATGAAAGCTTAAAAATATGTTGTTGTTTTTTTTTTAATTTTAAAGCTCAGAAACTATTTTGCTGATTTTAAAAAAATATGTGTTTTGTAATTTAAAATTACCTAGTTAAATAATGTATGCTCCTTATAAATAAAATTTTTTTTGCTCTTATTAAATAAAATATTTTACAAAAAAATGGATTTTAATAAGTTAACCCTGATATTAATTAGTATTAAATTATCAATAAATTTTTTTAATGTTTTAATCATTTATCACTAGTTTGTGTGTTTAATATTAGTTATGTAAAAAAAGTAAAAAATAAAATAATTCATATTTATATTTTAGTGACCAAAACTGTGATGAAGTTTTAGAGCAGGCAAAGTTACGTTTGAATGATTTATTCAACACTGTAATTCATGATATAGCCATGGAATTGTCTAAAAGAGAAGTTTACCAGTTTATTAAGGCTTACAGTGCAGGTAATTTGTTAATTATATGATATTATGTATTAACATTTTATCGCTGTTTGTGAATCTAGGACATTTCAAAGATGTTATGACAAATTTTTAGTAGAGGTAGGGGAATAAAGGATTGTAAACTACATAGCAAGCCATAGCTGTTGAAAATCTAAAAAATCTCAGAAGAATGATTAATTGAAAACCTTTATGTGTTTCCCATCCTATCTGGCCGAAAAGTGCTTTGCAACATTTTTTAATATGGATTGCTCATGCTTGAATACTAATTTCAGAAAACTGTAGAAAGTAATTTTAAAAGTCATAAATCTTTTTCAAGCAAGAGTTTTTAAAATATAAATTCAAATTCAATTAGTTTGGTACAATAAATGTTTGTTTATTTAAAAATACAAATGTTTACTTATAGGTCTACAAGAATATGTTGAAGCTGTATCATTTTACTATTATTTGAAATATGGTCACTTGATCAGCATTGAAAAAGTACATAATCAAGATTTTCTCAAAGATTGCCCAAAGGTTAGAAAACGGAATTCTTTCTTATAATATTTTATGAAATTATATTTAAAAAAAAACGATGTTGAAAGTTTAAATCAAAGTCTTTTTATTGTTATTTAATCTATGAAGTATGATTTATAACAGTTTTCCCTTTTTTTTAAAAATTTTATAAAGTAATGTTGTGAAAGGTACATAATTTCTACAAAACTTTTTTAAAAAATGGAATATATTTCTAAAATATCTTGTACTTTTATGGAACAATTCATCCCCAAAGATAACAAATGGAATTAAAAACAACAACATTTTTGACTTTGTTGGTTTGGACAGCCTATTTTCTTGGATTGCTCTTTGTTATAAATTTATAGAATATAAAACATTTGATAAATTTTAATAATAATATTATGCATAATTATTCTTAATTGTATGTATTTTTGGAAATCGCAAACACCTATGCCAACTGCTTCCACGTTTTATGTGATAAGTAGTTTTAGACATCAGTTTTTTGTTTTTTTTTTCATTTTGTTACTACGTAATTGCTCAAAAGCTCTTTTTTCTTAATTTCAAATTTCTCCCCTGTTTTAGAAATTTAGGATTAAAAAAAATTTACTATCTATCATTGTAATTTTCTTTTTTAAAAATTGTTTCTCAAATCTAAGGTATATGTTTTTTCATAAATTTTTTAAATTATATGAATTATTAAAAAAAAAAATATGTGAAAAAAGAAAAACCAATTAAGTTGACTTTTTAATGTTTGATTAATCAAGAAACAGTTAATGTTATTTATGTTAATCTCATTTATATACCTAATTACAATTTTACTGTTATACCTTGTCTTAGTTAGAATTTAAAAAATATTCTTTTCAAATTTGTGACCTTCATATTTCATCAGGGTGAGGAAAAAGTAAAAGAAAATGATGTTACTCTGGCAGAAATGTTGTCACCCACTGATTACATCTTAGGAATAGCAGACTTGACTGGTGAATTGATGAGAAAATGTATCAACAGTGTTGCCAACGGAGACATAGATGAACCTTTCCAACTTTGTTATGTATTGCAAAATATTCATGAGGCGTTTTTAATTTACTCCAACCACTCAAGAGAATTGAAGAGAAAAATATTCACTTTGCAAAATAGTTTGCGAAAAGTAGAGAATGCATGTTATGCCATTCAAATCAGAGGATCTGAAATTCCAAAGCATATGTTAGCTGACTTTTTCAGCTGTGATGAATTCCAAGAATCTGCAAATTGTGAAGATTGAAGTATTTTTTCAAGTATTTATACATATACTTATTTGTTTTATTAAATTCATTTTTAGAAAAATTTGTGTTCTGTTATTTTTTATGCATTAATTATTAGCTGCATAATCCTTGTCTACTCTAAAATTAAGAACCTCTAAGTACTTTAGAATTAATCCTTTAATTTTAATGACTTACATTTAAGGTTCCATTTATCGTTCCATAGTTACAACCATAGAATTCAGACGTTCATCGAACTCCCGAACTCATCATTCATTCCAAATAGTCAACATAGAAGATTTTCCATTTCCAAGAAAATCACTTGAAAAACAGTTTTAAAGGTATTTCTGTGCTTCAAAAACTAAACTTTTATAAGAAAAATGTTCAAAGAAATTATTAAAATCAGTAATTCTTTGTTAAAATATCTCTTCTTTTACAGTATAAAAAGATGTTTCCTTTAGAAATCAGCATAATATAGAGGATTCATTAAGGTTGTAAGAATACATTCCAATCTCTATAAATTTCTTTTCAAAGAAAAATTTAACACATTTATTCATCATTTTCTTGCCAGAAAGTTATTATTATTTACTATTTTTGTCTTAATTTAGTTGTTTGCAAAATATACTTTTCAGACAAATACTTAGTATTCATTTAAATTCTGATTTAGTTTTTTCTAGACATTGCAGTTCAATTAAAACAAGAATTTTTTTTATACTTAGGTTTCACTCTGAGTGGGACAATCTCTAACTGCATACACATACTGATTTGCTTCCAGTGGTTCGCAAATGGACCTCAATATGTATTTTTGTCTCTTATATCAAAGTAAAGTACACAGAAAAATTCTTTAATTCCTACTATGGATGCATAATCAGGATTTTTATAAAGTGTGTTCAAGCTTGTTATAAGGGCACAATCATGATAAAAAAATTAAAAAAAATACAAGAAAGGAAAAACCAATATTGGTGAGAGAATTGAATTAATTAGCTTAACTGGTTAAAAAAATATTTTAGCCTGTATTAAAGATTTCCTTCTGTCTCATAGTGTAAGTCGAATTCAAACAACGAGATCCTCATCTGAGTCAAGTGGAATCGCATAAACAAGATTCTTCAGATGTCCCCATAAAAAGTAGTCAAGGCTCGATAAATCGGGGGGGGGGGGCAAGGGACTGGTACACCACGCTCCAAATGTGACATTTAGGTAAGTGTGCACATCAGTGCTAAGTGGGATGGCATATCATCAGGTTGAAACCACAGGCGGTTACGAATGGCAATCGGAACATTCTGCTGTAGTTGTGGTAACACCTGTTCCAGAAAAATAAGATAACATTCGCCATTGTGTCAGTAGTAAGTATAAAAAGTTGACAATACCAGCCCTCACATTCACACAGAATCATTGTTGATACGCATGTGGTCGCATTGCATCTGGATACTCAATGCCCACATATGGGAATTGTGCGCATTAAAGCTGAAAAATTCTGTCATCCGGCATTCTTTGATCAGGAAACTGCACATGATACATTCACAACGCAGCTCTGCCATCACCATTTGTACGGCCGTACATGTAATGCATGTCTGCTTTTTCGGCGTGTGTAAAGTCTTTCCCCTATTCATATACATAATGTTGAACTGCGGCTAGACATCTACTGCCCTCTCCCAGAAACGCAACCAACAGATAACTCCATTTCTCTTTTCTTTCCCCCATTTATGTGTCACTTGAGCCCATACAATCCTATACGATAAATGATTGTTACAATGTCCTGCATCTACACTTAAAGTTTGTACCATGAGTTCGGGACCACCTTGTATGTATGTGTGTGTATTTATATATATAACCAGATCATAAATTGTTTTTTAAAAATTATTTAGAAAGCACTGAGAATGACTTTTAAGTAGTTGAAATAAAATTACTAATGAATTTAAAACAAGAAAAAACCTGACCCATGTAAAAATGCTTATTTTTACTAGTTTATAGTTTTTAAAAAATTATTTTAAGCAATGAAGAATTAGCTGTTGAAATGAAATAACTAATAAGCTTTATAAATTTCAAAATCATAGGAAAATAGACAATTACAAAATGCATTCTCATAAATTATAAATTTTCTAAAAATATAAATGTAATTTTCTTCTTCTGATCGAGTGACAGCATTGTTTTTGTTATTATTAGAAAAATAGTTTGTTTTTAAATTATATATTATTATCAATATTTTGTTGAAAAATCTTAAAAACTAATCATAACAATTACATTGGATTAATATATAATAGAATTTCATTGCAAGCTCAAGTTCTAGGAATAAACTGCATCAATATTCATTTTACTGGTTTGCCAGATTAAAATATTATATGGTATTAGGAGAGAGTACTAAATTTAATAACTATTCAATTAAAAAAAAGGCAAAAAATGTTTAAAAATCTCATTTTCCATTATGTGAATGAAACTTAAAAATGTTCAAAGATTACTGTTTCAGAAAATTGTCAGTTAAATATGATTATCCTATGAATTTTTAATTAAAATTGTATACATTATGTTTACAAAAAATTGCAAATTTAACTTATATATACTGTTTCAATAATCAATTTAAAATTAGAACTGTTAATGTGGCATCATTGAATATAAAGCTTTTTAAAATTGAAATTTTGAGAAGAATGATATGATTTTTTCATTTCTTTCAAAAGAATTAGATTAAGATTGTTTTTATTCAACAATTCTTGATCTTTTTTTTTAAATTATATTGTAGGTGTAGGTTATAGTCTCTTCTCTAAATGATAATGTTTTGTAGCATGTGAATAAAACATTGAAAATTATTGTCGATAGAGGTTTATTCTGTTTAACGTTTACTTCAGTTTAAAGCTATATATGAAAGTAAGGAATTCCATTCAAAGGACTAGATTTGGTTCTCCAGTCTTCATAAATTGAAAATGGAAATTTCATTACGAAAAAGATTCTTTTCACAGAAAGAAAAAACATTTTTAATTTTAGTATTTTTTATGTTGTTCAGCAATAAAAGGACAACAAAAAATAATTGCCTAAACTGGGACACTTAACTCTTTTTATATTTATATAAAATAAATGGATTTCCCTTAATTTTATTTTTATATGTGAAATGTTCTATTATTTTCCATAAAATTTGGTCAACTGTACAGTGTGATAAAATAAAAAGAAATTTTTAGAACAAGATTTCAACATTTTATTGATAAACTTTTGTTGTAACATGACTTATTCTTAATAATATGCATTGTTTTGATACTTTGAAAGAATAAAAGATTAAGTAGATTTTTGATAAACAAAATAAGTTTAAAAAAAACAAATTGGCAAGTTAAAAGAGTAAAAACCATATGCATCAATCACATTCAGCATTTTTAGTACAATATAGGATAGTTAAATATTTGAAAATAAATATAGCAAGAAAACTTTTAAATGCATAATTTCCTTGAGCATTAACATTTGACAAAGCATTTTAAATATGATAAGAAAAATAACTTTCTATAAATTATTTCTACACAAATAAGATTTTTATCGATGAATGTCCGATTTACATAATTAGAGATTTGATTAAAAGACCGACACAAAGCAATGAATACCTTATTCATTTGGAATTTGATTAATATAATAAATTTACCTTTAAATAACATTTTTTGAACTAAATTTAAATTTATGTGGTATACAAATATTTTGAACAATATATTTTGTTTTAAAGTAATTTCTTTGTAGGACTTTCAAGTCATATATTAGCATTTCTATTTAAAAATTGGATATTTTTTAGTATAAAATTTAAAGGGAAAATTTTTTTGAAAACAAAAGAAACCGTATGCAAAATGTATTTAGAAACATATTATTTGAAATTTTAAGGATTTGTGTTATATACTTAAATTGTTTCTTCGTAATGTAATCAATTGAGTTTTCATTTTGTTAAATGCTTTTTTCAACTTTTTTTAACACAAAAAATTTTTTTTTTAAAAAAAAGATATGATTTAAAAATTATCTGTATAGATCATTCTTAAACATTCCACAAAATGTATAAAGGAAACAAGTAAACACATAACAGAGTTGGAATTTTAAACATGCCATACAAAAAAATAAAGCTTTAAAAAAAAGACATTCAAAATGGGATTTGCTTTGAAGGACTTCTAAATTATTAAAGAATGTAGTTTTAAAGATAAAATAAATGATATTTAAAAAGATTTATAAAAAAGAGGATTGAATTTCTTATAAATATTAATGATTGAAATTTGTAGGCAATACTGCTTAAAAACTTAGCTTTGTGTTATTTTTTTTTACTTGAAAGCAAATATTCTTCTATACAAACAAGTATGATAATTTCTAAGCATTATTATTTAGTGTTATTTACTGATGATAATTTCTAAGCGTTATTTACTTTACACTGAATGAATGGATTGCTTGTTTGTAAAATAATTCCAGTTTATATCAAAAACTAGAGTTTCGTGAAAATGAATTCTACGGTATTAATATGAAGTTAAAATTGTGAAGAAAAAAACTAATATGCATAAATGCTGCATATGACTATAAATTTTATCACTAACTTTCAATAAAAAAAAGAAAACTTACATTTCAAAAAAAAATATTTCCTTTTGCACACAGTCAAAAACAAATCAATACTTTTTAACTTTTACTATCATCATTAGGTCATAACTAATGTTAATGCAAGTGTTTAAATTATATCAACATAAAATTTCTTAAAGTCATTATTTCTTTGATGTAAAACATTTGCTTACATTTTGAAATCATGTTAATGCAAGTGTTTAAATTACATCAACATAAAATTGCTTAAAGTCATTATTTCTTTGTAAAACATTTGCTTACATTTTGAAATCATAGGAAACAGGAACCATTTAATTTATAGGAACATGGATTTCTATCCTTACTTTAAAATTGGTTTGAGCACTGGAAATTTGACAAACACAAATTTTGTTCTTATTAAATTTTTGTAAATTACATATCAATATATCTACAAAACTTAGTAATATGAAATTTGCGAATGTAAGAAAAAAAAATTACATAGGTATATTAATAAGAAAGGACCCTATAAATAAACAACTCTCATTTTAATTTTATAAACTTGAAATAAAGAAAATATACAATAAAATTTTTATTTTATTTTATCTAGTTGTTACTGTTTTAAAATTCTTATAAGTCTACCACATATGTAAAAATTCGAAAAATTACCCACTGCAGATGTATATACGTATGTATTAAAAAAATTATGCTTTAATGCTAATGATTATCTTTTTTAAAACAATAATGGTAAAATAACTATTATGCATAATTGAAGAGCTTGCGTTAACAAAGTGATAAGTTACATTTTTTACAAAGGCAACATTTATACATTTGTGCTCCAGTGTTATTTCTAGTTACTAGGTTCAGGGTTTCAGAAATTACCTCTAGATAACAGCACAAAACAATGAAACATTTTATTGCCTAAATGGAAATCATAATGTTTCTCATTAAAAGGGATCTCTCAAACAATATGAACATGTGATTCATCATAAAAATCATCCTAGCCCATCTGTTTTGAAATTAATACTCCAACTACTTATTGATGCATTGCAATTAGCATTATTTAAAGAAAAAAAATTTGTAAAGTAGGTGAACAACCTTTATTTATTTGTACAGTTACAGGCTGTGATATTTATTAAAATTTTAAATAAATCTAACAGTGTAGCACCAACTACTTCTCAAAATCTCCTCTCTTAAGAATATATGTTTTTAAAAATATCAATAATTGAGGCTATCTTTTTGTTTTTGAGAAAATTAACACTCACAAAAACAGGCATAGTTTTGTTACCACTTATTAAGGCTTTTACGGCTAGTTTTATTATTTTTAAGTATCTTTCAAGATAAAATGAAAACAAATAAGAAGAATAGTAGCATCAGTTGCAAAAATATTACTTTAAATATTCTTTTCTAAAATAGCTAAGTTATACATAGAAAATAATAATAAAAGTTAAAATAAAAAATTTGAAAAAATAATTAGAAAATGCTGAAACATGTATTTAGTAAATTCAATACTAATGCAAGAGTAGCCTTAACCAATTAAACTTATTTTTACTATACAATAAATCACAGCAGTATCATACATTTTATCAAAAATTTCCACTTTTAAAATCACATGATAATACTTGAATATCCATTGAAATCATTGGACAATCAAATCAAAACATTAGACATACATCAGTCAAAACAAAAAAATTGGCATTCCATAATGTATAAATTTCTAGATAAAAAAAATTATATAAGTTATGTTTAAGAGATTTTTTCAAAAAGTCATCTTAACAAATATATTTTGATGCATCTGGGATCAAAAGAATAAGAAGAAAAAAAAAAATAACAGACTGAAGAATCTGATAATATTTAAATATAAAAACTAATAATTTAAACATAAATAATTCATATAGTTATAAAATTGTGCTATTTTCATGATCTTCCATATGTACACACATTTTCAAGAACAATTTCTAATATTCACAATTTTATTTATTGATACTTTTTTTAAAATTATTATTAACTAATAAAATTTACAATAAACAACTTATATATGCAACATGAATAATTTTATTCCAACAAAATAAAACAATTTAGATATATGTACAAATTCAAATCATGAATTTCAAAATTTAAAAAACTGTTTTTTATCGATAAATAAATACATACATTAAAGCGTAGCTTTTGTGAACATTAAGAAATGAGCAATTTTAAAGTAGTAATAAAATAGTTATGTATATTTTCCATGAGTTACTCTAGTTTTGAATTTTAATGACTAGGTCTTTCAATGTTCTGCAAATGCATAGTTCTCTTTAGAAAGTTTCATTACCTTATCAGAGAGGAATATTCATATCAATCATATTTACATGCTTTTATTTTAGGTTTAATAAAATACTGTTTTTCTCTCTTTGTTTTCAATGAGAATTCAAATTTTCTTCCATACTATAGCTCTATTTTGTGCTTACTAGTAAGCCTTTGACGAAATTGTTCAAGTTCATAAATGCTGTTGGATAATCTGAAATAAAGTTTTAATATAAATGTAGACATAAATAAAGTAAGTGAATAAATTGATAAAATAAAAAGCTGTTACACTAAACTGAAAAATCATTTTTAGGCAAAACAATGGACACTTTTTAGTAACAAATACAAAATTTAAAAGTTTGGCTGTAAGCTCTTCCACATTCTACTGAATTAAGCAGGACAGAGAGCATTTGCTTTACTTTTCCTGTAAATTCTGAAAATCACTCTGAGACTACTACCTAAATTCAAGAATCCAATTAAAAGTTCTCTTTAAGACTACTACCTCTGAATTCAAGAATCCGATTAAAATCTCGCTGAGACTCAGACTCCTCTGAGACGGAGGAAAATCTCCGATTAAAATATCGCTGAATTCAAGAACTTGAATTCAAAATAAAACAAAGTCCAAATTAAAACTAACTTTAACATAATCTTTCTACACCACTTCTCTTCCCTAGAATATTTTTGAACATACAGTTGCCCACAATCAAAAACGAACAGGTTTTGCAACATTTAATTCTGTTTGACAAAATTTGAGCTTGTAAAGGATATAATGCTAAACTTCAAAAATATAGTGAAGTTGCATAGAGAAAAAAGAAAACATTATAGATAGTTGTAAATCCTATGATTTTCCACATCATTGCACAATTTGTAGAACCTTATCCATAATCCTTCAAATCTAATTAAATAGAACTGTTATTAATAAAAATAATTTCATACAAATTATAAGTATGAGTGTGATTTGGAATATATAGGCAGGTTTTGTGAATTATAATTTGATTGCTCATAAATAAGAAAATTAATATGTTTTTTCGTGTGAAACATTATTAATAAAATCTAAAGGCTTCTTTGAATTAGGATTGCTATATTTGAACCAATACAATTTATAACGCTGCTTTGCACTATATTTTAAATAATACATGAATTTTAAAAAAAAAGCCTTTTATCTGCATTTACATTTATAACTTTCATTAATATTTTTATATAAGTTAAATGGTTTATGCTTTTTGATTTTACTATTTTTACCTAGATTATAAAAATTAAATAAATAAAAAGTATTACATTTGAAAAGCTATTTTAAATATTCATATAATATTAAAATTAATGGTCACCTTGCCTCTGAAACATTAAGAGTAAATTAAAAAAATAGAAAAAATTCAAACATACCAAAAAATAAAAGTTTAAACAAATTTTAAATGCCAAAAAAAGTACTCAAACTACTTGAAAACTACTACTTGAAAATATAGAATAGAAGAGCTAAAAGTTTGAACTAAGCTCATTTTATATGTAATGTACAATTTAAAGTAGAATGCCTGAAACTCTCCTCATTGTAATCACTAATGGTAATGTATTTGTAATTGTATTGTACTTCTTCACTCAAAATTTGAATTAATAGCAAATTTTGAAGTATTCTAAATTAGTCATTAAGTCTAAAACATTTCCTTCTAGCTTTGTAAGAACAATGGTACCCTTTTTAAAATAAAGTTTAAAAATAAGCAACATCATGTGAAACCTTTGCTTTATAAATGTATAATACATAATTATACTTTGATTTAAATACATTATGATTAGATTAATATTTAATTTAATAATTCTTGGAATAATATTTGGAACAAATATTTCACACAATTTTTCTTTATTTATGATACTAAGTACCAGTGTTTGAAAATGCATTTGTTTTATTCCATTTTATAATTCAAGAAAAAAATCTGAAACTTTCCCTTTTAGAACATATGATTGTTAAAAATTTGATTTTAAAGAACATTGATAGTGATTTTTATTAAAAAAAGAACTTTAACAAATAACTTTAAAAATGAAATACTAAATTTTACAAAAATGTTTGGTTAAGATTTACGTGAAAAGCATGAGTAGTAAGAATAAGGCAGTGTACATTTATGCTCATGAAATGTTTAAAAAAAGCACTAGATTATTATGCAAAAGTGTTTTTTCTTACCTGCCAAATGCATTGAATAAAGAGACAATTTCAGTTCTAGATAACCGGAAATGCTTTCTCTTTATATCAGATTGATCTTTTGAAAATAAAATTTTGAACGCTGTACCTAAGCCTTGAACCTAAAAGAAGTTAAGAGCACAAAGATTAAAAAGAAATCTCAAATGTCAAAAACAGGAACTCCATACAATATTCTAAAACATTTCAAAAATAATTTTAAAAATAACACATATTACATTATTATAAGTAGCATTTGAAACCATGCTATTTTAGAATATACAACTGACACTGTTTTTGTTACCTGTGGGTCAAAAACTATAACAGTTTAATTGAATTGACCATAAAATGGTTACTAATTATACTTCTCTACATGCAAAAAAAAAAAAAATAGAATTTGTAAAACAACCTGGTGTTTGCAAGTTTTAACATTAATAAATATTAATTATATTTATAGGAATAAAAATGAAACAATTATCACTGTATAATTATAGATAAATATTATAATTGTGTCTTCATTTAGTAATAAACTTAATTTATTTGGAACAGTATTTACACATAAATTAGGAAAAACATGAATCTGGTACATATTTCCAGTATTTTCAAAATAATAAAATTATATTTTTATAATTTTGATCATTAATTGTATCACTATAAGAGGTATTATTGTACATACTTAAAAAATATAAGAAATTTTAAGAATTTTTTTTCTGTATCATTTATAGTCACAGGGTAGAATTAAAGTTTTAGGTTAGAAAAATCCATATAATAAATAAAGAAATTTATGATGATTTTACTGTTATCTCTATCAATCTCACTGAATTTTCTGAAATACAGTTCATTGCATTTGAAATGAGAATTCTAATATTTTAATGAAGACAAAGTTCAATTCAGAAGTAGCATGTTCTTATGGCTTTTTGCAAACTCTTAGTGATTTATAAGACTGAATTATTAAATGTAACGTTTAGTAATCAACTTATCACACTTTTTTACATGATCCTTTTTCTACAATTAAAGCCAATGCCTTTTACAAAGCTTTATCTTATGTATCTTTAAACTAATATAAAACATAGCTTGAAAGTTTATTGTTAGTTCTCAGGCATATATATTTATACATTACTACTTACATATCAAAGTAGTTAAAAACACTAACAAAAAAATTTTTTTAACCAAGGAAGAAGTTTTTAACTAACATAAAAAATTTTATCAGCTGCGAGGCTTTTTCATAAAACCCTTTTTTTTTAACATTATGATGCTAAAAAATGGCACTGTTTTTTAGTAGCATATTTGTTTTACTGAACATTATGCTATAAAGCAACATTGTTTTTTGTAGAATTTTTATGAACATTATGTTGAAAAACAGCTCTGTTTCATAGTAATATTTTCCTATTGAAACAATTTATTTATAATGAAAACATTTTGGAACATTATAAGTAAGACAACTAAGTGGAGAAAATGCAATAGAGCCATGCAATAATAATAAAAATATTTTTCGTCAATTTTCATTGGCAAAAATTACAATAAATTAATATACCTGTATTTTCCCCCATAAACGACATTTATCACAGCCTACACAATCCATTATTTTTGATATGTTTAGAAAGTGAAGTCTGAATTCTTCCTAAAAGCAAAAAAAATGTCAGTGACAAATACTGCTTTCATAGATTAACAAAATATTTACGTTTTTTTATATAAAAAATACAATATAAAAATTAAAAAAATTATGTAAATTATCAAAAAAGATAAATTGGCATATATTTCAAATAACATTTTTAAAAATAAAATTTAACTACAAATAAGACTATATACAAATTTTTATACAAAGACGACAAGACGACTTTTATACAAATCGCACTTTTATACAAATATTTAAACAAAAATAACACAAAAAAAAAAAAAAATGATTACAAAATTTTTTAATTTCCATACAAATTTTAATGAAATAAAAGTTCATAAATTCAAAACATGATAAAAAATATGACATTTTATAAAAAATATAACAATAAAAATTTAGCTAAGATTTTAAAAGAGAAAATATTGTTAATTAAAAATACTTCTCATATTTAAAATTATGATTTTTTCCCATTAATCTCACCTATAAATTAAAAAATCAATAAATAAAACAATTTTTCTTAATTAAAACTAAAATAAAACCAAAACTATTTAGTATAAAAAAGAAACTTCCCAGACAAATATCTATGAGGCAATTAATAACAAATTTGTTACGCAATAAGAAAATTTATAAAAACTAATAATTGATCAATTTCTGCTTTCAATAAGGGAACAATACTGAAAAGCACAAAGTTTTACTACATAATACGTAACTAATAAATAGAGACTTAAACCTCTACAGATTTGTATACATAAAACTCTATTAGAATAAATGCTATCAAAAATTATACATTATTTTAAACAAATAATACCTTTAAATTTCTTGCTTCCTTACTATTTCCAGAAAACATAACTTTTTCATCAAAATGATCTGGGAACGATCTATATGAGCAAAAAAAAAAAAAAAACCTTATTATTTTAAAAATGTAGATCAAAAATTGTTTTTTTTTAAAGTCAGAATTTAGTCTAAATAAACTTTATAACAAAATAATAAATTTATTACCTAGCAACCTCTAAAAGATTTTTAATAGCAACTCTAACTTCTTCATCATTTGAGTCACTTCCAGTGTAAAATAGTTCCTTTTCAAAATAAAATGCAGCTTTTGCAATGGCTCGAAGTTCCAACAGGTATACAAAATATAAATTTTTCAACCACTGAGGACCTTCTTCGTCAGTATTTTTGGGATCAAACCTTCTTTGGAATTCTTTTAAGTTTCTCCCCCAAGCACCTTTGCTAAAACAATCTTTAGCTGAAAAAAATATGAAATTAGATTATATCAAAACAATCATTAAAATAAAAAAAAGCAAATTAGCAATCAAATAATAAAAAGGATTTTCAAGAACCATTTCAATGTATAAACAAATAGTTTTACAAGATTTTTATCTCCCATTTCAAAGCTTAGGAAAAAAACACTTATATTTAGTGTTAAAATTCACTGAAACAATAAAAAGAAGATTTAATTTTCCTTTGTTCAATATAAAATAAAATGAAAACTCCTAAAATTTCTTGTAATTCCTTAGAAAAAATATGACAAAAATTACATCATAATTTTAAAACAAATAAAAAGTCAATTTAATTATTTTGAAATTGATAATGGCTTATCTCAAACTATGTAGAACCTAAGATTAAGAGTTTTATAGTTTCCAACTGTTCTAATTTAATCAGAATATTTTTTTTAAAGTCAAATAATAATGATAGAGCAATAATAGCAGCAAGCAGAGCTCAAATAATAATGAGAGAGCAATAAAAGTTAATAACATTTTTACCAATTTAATTAACATTTAACAAATTTACCCACAAATATCTGGTGCTTATAAATATGTCTGATTTATTCAGATTTCAAGATTTATAAAATCCTTTTAAAGGAGATCAATTTGCATAAAAAACAAGTATTGAATTACACATTTCGTTATCACTAAAAAAAAATCTTACATCCAAGAAAGAATAGCATGTAACTATGGAATTTATAGAATCACTGGGATGTGTTGTAAAAAACTTTAAAATTAAATTTTTTCTTTTAGTTTTCTGATAGGATTAAAAAAAGTGAACAATTGAAAATATTACATATAATACATTCATTTAGGTGGAAATAATTGTTTAAAAAATGAGGAGGAAAACTAGTTACCTTTTGTAAAATATTGTGAGCACAAATGAATGCTGATGCTGGAATGAAGGCCAGATACAGCACGGTAAAAAGCTCTCTTTTCCAAACACATAGCTAAAATAATAAATACAAATTATTCTGTGCATCCAAATTTTCCTTAATTAAAAAAATATTGAAATTAAAACAATTATTGTTTAAATTATCCAGCAACAGTCGTATTTATCCACCTTGTTAGTCTACTAAGGAATAATAAACTATTATAATGGTAATCATGAGGTTTAGGGACATGTATATAATGGTACATGAATTAACTCTCAATTCAATGTTAAGCACATTACGAAAAAATTCCTGTACTCGAATTTAACACTAGATTCACATTTCTGGGTAGCAAAAAATCTTTATTTCAAAACAGTTAAGTGGGTATTATAGTTTCAAAAATAAAACTTATAACCTGATGAAGTTGAGAGGGACTTAGAGCAGATGGAAAACAATCGCCTAAAGACAGCCACGGCCAGAAACAGAAAGAAAAATTTTTTTCAATGATTTAATGCATAAAAAGCAAAAATATGTAACACCACATATTAGCCAGATACTATAATCCATATGAAATATATAACATGAAACAAAAAACTAATAAACATAAATTATATTTAATAAAGAGCTTAGAGTGGAATGCTTTGCTGAGATAGACTTAAAATATGGTGCTATTTAACTGAGAGCAAGAAGTTGAAAAATATTATACAGAAAACACTTCATAAATTTTACTTACAATCAAGGTTTTTTGAAGTAGTATAAGGTCCAAAATCTCCACTAAATCTGCAAAAAATTGGTAAGAAAAATCTATGAAATGCAGAGTTTGTTAGATAATATTTAATAAAAATGAATACATAAAGCAATGATAAAGAAATAAAGCAGAAATGCGTACAGATAAAAATTCATTAGTTTTTAGAAACTAAGTTCAAAAAAAGAATTATTTATTGGGATTTATGTTTGATTTTTATCATCATTAAAAATGTTACATTAAAATTATTTAAAATTTATTAGAATTCTTAAAAAAAAATTTATACAAAAATCTTATTAAATAATTAAAAAAAAAGACAAATAATTAAAGTTTTTGTGCCTTTTAATTACTAAATATGCACCTTCAGGATGTTTACATATGCAAAATTGTTATAATTATTATTCCTTACTTTAAGACTATGTGTTGAAAAAAAAAGAACTTACTATGTGTTGAAAAAATAAGAAAATAACACAACATACTTAAAGCAATTTTCTCTGTATATACTGTTCCATATACGATGAGCTGAAGCACCTTTATAGCCAGTATAACGCTCAGGATTTAGTAACAGATCTACATACTGAAGATCTGATATATCGTCTAAAAAATGCAAAACATATATATAAACATATAACAAACATATTTGACCATGTTATTACATTAAATTTTTAAAAAAATTGCGCAGTTGATAGTTATTTTTCTTAACAATCGAATTCACTAAACTCTATTGATGAAAATACTATCAGACAAAATTTTCTATTTATGCAAAACACAATAAATTGAATAGATACAATTCAGTTTTTATATAGATATTTACTTAATTGTTAAAGAACATTAAAACAGGCAAACATGAAAATATGAACTTACAAATTGCCTATAATTTCTTAACTATGAGTTGTAATTGAAATAATTTTATCATTAAAAAAAGAGATAAGAGTAAAAATAATATGCAGTATGATTCGCTTATTTCTCTTTCATTTTAAAATTGTTATTAGTGAAGGCATTATAAAAAAAACCTTCAATAAATCAGCTAAACAGCTTTTATGAGTCTTAAACAAATATTTCAAAAAATATAAGTAAGATTTAAAAAATATTTTCATACCATCCATCTCACAGAATGTGTCAATTGAATCATCATGTTTTTGCCATTTTTTGAAGTCTTGGTAATTTTCATCACTAAAATAAAAATAAGTTTACAATAAATACCATATACAAAGAAATACTTTATTAATGGTTTAAAATTAAAAACATTAATTTGAATCTTATAATAAGAAAAGAAAATTAGTATACATTCAGAAAAAGAGTATAAATTGCAAGAATTAAAAATAGTATATCACCTAATTGTAACATTCACTGCTCCAAGGCCATCATGGTTTTCATCACAGGGCTTTTGTTCTTGCTCATCTGCACTTTTTAAAAGCTGAAATGAATATGCATGCATTTTTTAATCATATAGTGTAAGGTAAATTAAAATAAATTATTACAACCAATAAAATTAAAAAATGAATACATTATAGATAAAAGGGTATAAATATTATAAATATAAAAATAGTATAAATACTAGTCATTATTTTGATAATAAAATTAATTTTCACCAGAATAAACACTTCTTAGAATGAGGAATTTTAAAGCTATGTTATTTTTAAATGAAAATTAACATTCTTTGCAATACTATGCTCTAAAAGTTATGTAATTGCTTGAGATGGGTTATTTTAATTACATAAATATTTTTATTAATTTATTTACAAACAATGAACTGGCAAAAAAAAAAATTATTAATAGACATAGAATATAAAAATTTCATTTTTAATGCAGCAGTTGAAAATGGAAATAACAATCATGCATAAACATTTAAAATGGTAGTTAGATCAGTAATTTAAATTACTCTTATTGAAAAAACCTACCACTTTTGTTTCAATATCTTTAGCATAATATTGCCCTTTTAATCCCGGAGGTAATTGCTCCTGCAAAATTTTAAAAAAAAGTTAAATACATCAGAGTTATGTAGATAAAAATACTTGATAATTAAGAAAAATAAAAAGATTTGATAAAATATCAAAGACATACTTAATTTAATATTTTTAAAAATCCTAATCATGCATTGAATATTTAAATATATAAAAGTGTCTGCAAAAAGTTCTTAGATATTTCCCTCAATTATTTTATAACTAAATTCAAGCAGATGAGGATAATTTAGAAAACAAACCCAAACATTAAGAATTTTCTTTCAATTTTATTTTACTTAAATCTATCATTTTTACATCATAAGTCCAAATGTTACCCGTTGAAACATAAAATTTATGCACAAATGACTTAAAATTTTGTTCAACAGCAAAATAAAATAAATAAATGATAGATAATGAGTGATAGATTATAAGATAGAGAAGTCATAAAAAATATAAAAATAATTTTAAGGAAAAATTAGAAGAATATCATTTTTTTATTTATACAGAAGGAACAAGCATTCCATATTTTGAATTATAACTATGAAATACATTTTTGAAATATTAAATTAATAATATTTTCCCTAATTAATTTTTTTTTGGAACATCTTGCAGCAGTAAATAATATTTTATGAATAAAATTACATAAATGATTGCTTTCTATTTTTAAATTGCTAAGTAAATTTACAAAATAAATTTTAAAAAATTGAAATCTCTTTTTCCTAACAGAATTATTCTTAAGAAGCTTGAAGAACAGACTTAGTTTAAAATAGAATGATTTCGAAAAAAAAAAGGCAATTGTTTTGGTTTTAAAGCTAAATATCTCATATATTATTATTGCGAACTTAATATAACAACAGAGGGTTAAAAAGAAAGAAAAAGAAATTAGTTAATAACCTCAGAACAAGTTTTCACAGAACAATCCTGAATAGAACATTTGCTGTCATCAGGCCAAAAGGGGCAACCTCGATTTAAGTTTACCTGGAAAATAAACAAAATAAATATACTGGCTATTTCATTTTGAATTATTTTAAATTAACTTGTCATACATAATACATTTAGATATAATGCATACAATAGCTGCAAGACTGAACTGTCAAACTAACAAAAAGGATAAAAAATTATGCTTATTATAGTGTTTATTATGCATTGTTTTAATATGATAATAAAATTATTTATGAAAAAAAACACTGATAAATTACGATCTGAAAATTGTATTAATGTGCATGTAAATTTTTTTTTAATGGCAGGCACTGAACTTATCTTTCTTTGTCAGGGAAAGTGCTGGAAATTTGCATTTTGCGTTACCTGGTGAGAAACTTGCGACCAGAGTCACAAGGGTGAGCAACATTACCCACGCCATAATGCCACAGATAATCATAGAGTGGGTCACATTCACATGAAACAGAGGACAACACACAGAGAGAAACATCTGTGACCTGAATGGGATTGAAACCCGTGATCATTGGCTTCGCAGTCAGGCATGCTAACCACTTGGCCGGCGAGTGCATATAAATCTGACATGTAATATCAGCAAAATGTAAATAAACTGAACATTCTTTGAAGTAGGAGACAGTGAGTATATATTCCCATCAAATAGTTCCCTTTATAATATTTTAAACAAATAAAACTAATTTCATGCATCATCAATTTAGATTTAGCTTCGTTAAAAACAAGCTAAGATAATAAAAAATGTAATCATTTTTAATAACATGCGCTCGCTGAACATTTTAGTACATTACTGTTGTAGTTAAACAGGGAAATGAAGATATATTAAAAAAAAATCATCCTTATTATTCTGTTGCCTATCATCCTTCTTTATTATCTGTCTCCTCTACTATTGTAGGCATAATTTTCAAAATTATCGAGCATTACCACACCACATTTACAATTTCATACAGCAGTTTTGTAACACTTTCAACAGTCAAACTGGGGAGACATCAGTCATTCAAACCCTTACCTTCCCAGTCTTATTGCCTTAAATTCAAATTACTAAATTACTTAATTAATAATAAAGAATTATTAATTAATAGAAAAAGACCCCTTTCTATTGAATTGCAACTACAAATATTGAACCAGATTTTTTTTTTAACCAGATCAGAGAAAAAAAAAAAAACTAAATGCATTGCATTTAAGTGTATATTCAAATTCAACAATAACAATAATAAAACAACGAATAACTAAAAAAATAATGAAACAATATAAAACTACATACCTTTATATAACGAAAAAAGTCTGTAACTAAGATACTTTGCAATAAGGGATAAATTTTTACATTATTGAAATAATCCACTGTATCAATGTTACATGAACAATCATCAATTCTGCCTTCAAGCTAAAATTGAAAAAGAAAATTACAAATACCAATTTATAATATAAAGCTACTAAAATATTTATATAGCAAGTCATTACAATACTTCAAGGTATTAAAAACTAAAAGGTTAAACAAGGTATTAACTGGCCTGGGCTTTTGAAAAGATATAAATCTAAAAACTAATAAAGTAAAGAGCTGTAGTTAAAAAGGAATTAGATAAAACGAAAAATGTAGAATATATTTATGTAATATAAAAATCAAATGAAATTAAACCCCCCTAAACTTGAACCATATCTTAAATTTGGGGAAATTACAAAAATTTGCAGCCCAGAATTTCTGAAAATTTTAAGTACAAGCTGCCAATTTTAATTAATTCACTTTTTAAAAAAATTATTATTGAAGCTTGGATAGTTTAAGTTTGTTCCCATCTTTACTTTTTATACACAATACAATTAATTCATGAAATTAAATTGAGGAAAATATGGCATTCATGAATTCCTAATCTATCGATGTACCTAAAAAGAACAAATTAAAAAGAAAATAATTAAAACATTGAACTTAATGTTTAAAATGTTTTTCAGCTAATATGCTTAACTATCATAAACTAAATCACTTTTATAGCAAAGTAAGTCTAGATAAAAGAATAATTAAGTAATAGGACTCAGCAATTCAATAAGATTAATTTAAAATTTATAAGAGTAATGTAATATAATTTACTAAGGAATGACAAATCTTAAAAACAGATTATTATGTAAGAGATTGTGATGTATTTCAATAGGAAATATTGATGCAATTAAAAAGGAAATGATGTAATTTAATGGGTTCCTAAGTGATGCAAAAACTACAAGGTGAAGGAATGAGTGATAACTTATTCCTATTCATTAGGAGGGTTAATCTGTTGTTCTTCTAATAACTTTAAAAGCATTGTACTTTAAATTCTTTTTCATCATTAGTTTTCAATAGCTTTAAATCTCTAAACTGACTTACAAGGGATATGATTTTTTAAAATTCATATTTTCATTGTTTACATAGAGAAATCGGCAAACATTATGTATATTTTAACAGAGTATGGAATTAATTTAACATGAAATGAATATAGGTTTTGTACTACACATCATATTTCAACAATTTTGATGGTGGCCAAAAAATTTTTCTCTTAAAATATTGAAATTAAAAACCTTAAGATTTAAAATAAGAGCGTGTCTTTACTATAAATATAATATTAAAAATGATTGATATTTAGAGATATTGTTATTTTAGGTTACAAATTTGGTATAGGTTACAATCAATTAGGTATGTCTAAATGATAACTTCATGTTTTTTCTAGCTATTTTAATTTAAAATATGTTTGTTTTTTAAACTATAATGTGGTATGAAATTTTGATAAGAGATTACAGAAATTTATGAAGGCAATTAAGAAAAATTTATATCATTACAAAGAAATAAGAAAATACATACTAATTTGATAGTTTTAATTTTTAGTGCTAATTAATTTAATACTAAAATGCCTTATTCACCTATGTCTACTTAAGTAAAAATTATTATAATTATATAAAAGACCTCTCATCTCTTAAAAAAATATAAACCTGTTATCTTCAAAAGTAATGAAATAAAATTAACATTAATATAATGACATATGCAAAAATATCTTTTAACAGTAAATAAAAACAATGCCGCTTAATGAAAAGAAATTTTTTGTTTTTAATTGGTTGACTGCACTATATTGAAGCACTACATTATATTGAATATATGCTATATTATATTGAATATTAGCTTTATGACTTGTTTTATTCATTTTATAAAATAAAAAATTTTACAGTACAAATTGGAATAAAAAATAAACTTTCTTAATTTCTTACATTTTGTTAGTTTTCAATTACTTGTAATCAGAAATATCTTAAATGTTAAAAAAAATTAAATTAATGTAAGAAGAAATGCAAATACAAATCATAATTCTTATAATTTTATAGCATATACCTTCTTACGGCATGTTTGCCTATACCTTATGATACACCATGTGATTGATAGAAGGAATACACATAGGAAATCATGTAGATTACTAGGCAATGATGACAGGATTAAATAGGTAATGATGATGTAATTCATAACAAAATGACGTAATTCATAACAAAATGATGTAATTCATAACAAAATGATGTCATTCATAACAAAATGATGTCATTCATTACAAAATTTTGTCCATTAAAAAATGATTAGGTAATTCAAAGCCATACTAAACGAAGAAAGATATCACGATTCTAATATAATCCAAAAAATTTTACATTACTGATAATTAATAAACATATTTATGAAGTGTTAGTATGTTTTGAGACACCATTAAATGCTTATGCTTAACATTTATTAAATGTAATCGGTACATGAGCCTAAATAATTGAAAATATGTGGTAATTTTTGAACAATAATACAGAGAAATATATTACAGAACAGGATCAACTTCAAGAGTATAACTCTAAGTCAAGCATGGGCAAACAATTACTTATTTTTTTAAAATTTTTGCAAAACCCTTACAACCATCAGGATCTTGGCTATAATAATAGTTTAAAACAAGTACCAATAAAGAAATATTCTCAAGTAATCATTTCAAGTTTATTTTCTCCATCTAATTGTATATTTTAAAATACTACAGACAGGGTCCAAACATCAAGAGTCTAACTCTAAGTCGAGTCTAAGTTTTCTTAAATTTATGCAAAACATTTTGGAACCTTGTCCATAGGGATTGTTTAGAGCAGGTATCAATACAGAAATATTCCCAAACAATCATTCCAAAATAATCTGAACTAGTTACAATAGCAAACAGGGGACAAAAGTTTAAAATAAATCGCAAACAATAATGGAATGAAATAGTATTGATCATTAAAAATTTATTGTAAAAATCATGAAATTTGCATTATGTAATATAATTGTAGCGATCCAAGCATATTATTGTTATAAAACTTTACATAAGTTAATAGCTAACTGCCTAAAACACATTTTGTTTAAAAATAAACAAACTATGTTAAACTCACCTTACAAAAACATCCAGATTTTTTATCATTAGAGTTGCACTCACATAAACAAATAATAACAATTAAAATAGGAATTATTTCCCTTGCTGAAATTTTCAAATGCATTTTTAAATTTAATAGAATAATAGAAAATCATAATTTTAAATCATGTACTATGAAATAGGCGGGTAGATTTCGAAACTATTACTACCACATTATTTGTCCAGTTGTCATCAATAAAAATTTATATCAAGTCAATATCATATCATTTTTCCTTTTATAACATATGTTTCTTTTTATTTCATAGCCCATATCAACAAGTACGTGTCATTTTTTTATTTATGGTTTAGCAGACAAGACTCACGTATCCCGGAAATTTTCGTTTCTTGTGGTTGTCAAGGAGCATTTCACTTGGTTTCGTTTTAAAAAAGATCTCCACCGAAAATATTTCTACTCAAAATACCAATTTCTACTTAAAATACCTATTTATATTTAAAATTACGATTTTAATTAAACAGAGAATTTTTTAAAAGTATATTTTTTTAAACAAGTATATTAATTAGTTTCTGATTGGAAAAGCACATGCGTTTTCGCTGAAAAACTCCGTAGCGATGTTATAACTTAAATTTAATTAACTGTTTTCTTTTTTCTTAACCTTAACTGTATCTCTTTTACTGCAGCATTGAGGTTCCATTGTCGTTGTATATCCTTCGCGTTTGAAGATAAGACTTATAATTAAACACTATGGTATGTACAAAAATAATGAATATAACATTCTTAAATAATATATATTTGTTTGGTTAGTGTTTCTGTAGCTTTTAGAACCTTTCTTCTGATTTTTCATGCTAATTTTTTTTATTGACACGTGTGTTGTCTTCCATTGATATCCATTCAGTATTCTTTCTGCATTAAAATGCTCTGACTAAACGTATACAGATCTTTCCGAAATCAGTACCAAATTTTAAATATAAACCTATTAGCATTAAAATATTTGGTAATAGTCTTCGGTTTAGGAGAAAGATTGTCGTCTGCTCTATCTATGCCATCTATGTAATACTAAATTGTCTATTACTGTCAATAATTGGTAGATATTCGTTTTTTTTTTTTTAACAAAAATTTGCCTATTTTGTATTTTATCTTAGAAATATTGTCTTTTGATAAGCGATTGTTATGTATAAGTAACAAGAATCTGGCACGTCATATTATAACGTCCGCAGATTATTTTTCATCTAAGTTTCTTTCTGTTTTGTAATCTTACAGAAGAAAATAATTACTGAGGCTCCTTTTATTTAAATAAGTTTTTTAAAGGCAGAATTGGAAAACTCCAAAAATATGGGAAAGTTACAATTTTTTACAATAACTTGGAGAGCTTCTTTATCATACCTGGAAAACTACTAGTCTTAGATCTGTTATTGAGATTTGGGTTAAATAATTTTAGTTTCTTTTGCAAGTAATTGTTGTGAAAATGTAACACCTTATCAAACTTAGTTCCATCTTCATTCAATGATATTTATTTTTGCTCACAAATTCTAATGTTAGGCATTACAAATAAAATTATTTAGAAGTTTACAGGTAAAAAATTTAATGGTTTAGTCAAATATATGGTCTGAATTTTCATTGCAACTTGAGCTGGAAAAGTTAAGGAAGATTTTCTTTGCAAATTTTAGTTGAAATTTGTACACTTTATTCTTTGTCTGACCGCATTGGTTTTGCTGACAAATTTGGATTCATAAAGATAGAGCTGTGTATTATGCTTTTGGGCGTATCAAGATTGGATTTGGTGTTTAATGTTGCAGATCTGTAGCAATTTGACTTGAAAAATTATATATTTGTGTTCTATGTAAATAACATGCTTTACATCCTTTTTCCAGGTGAATGTACCTAAAACCAGACGTACCTTTTGCAAAGGTAAATGTAAGAAACATACTTTACATAAGGTCACACAATACAAAAAAGGAAAGGACTCAATCTGGGCACAAGGTATTTATAATTTAACTATTGAATATTCTTATAAATCAGATAATTAACTTTCCTGCAATTTATACATTTTGTATTCTAACATTTATAAATGTTTTTTTTAATCATTTTTTAGCTATTACAATATGATTGTTTTAGGATATTAGAACCATTTTTATTATTTTACTAAATCTACTTATCTAACTACTTCTCTAATTTTTGTAACTACTTATTATTCAATCTGGTTTTAAAAATCTCAGTACTATTTTCAGGGACCACAGAACTCCTATGTTTCTTAATTTGGCGCCCCTATTTTTTCCCTGTTATTTCCTGCTTGTTTTTTTAAAGCAGGTATTATAAATTTTATAAAATTTGATTGTAAGTGGGGGATTTGTTACAAATTCAAATTTGTAGCAAAATAATTAATTAAATCATGCAGTAAATTCACCTTTTTTCTCCTTTTATTTTTATATTGGTTTTTACGCACATGAAAATTTTCAACCACACATTTGATTGCTCATAACTCACAATTATTCCATGGTGAATATGTGGAGTGTTTTGTTACAGCACAGTAATTTAAATTAGTGGTTTCTATGTATCTTTGACACTCTCAGTTTGCGTGGATATTCTCATTAAACCATGCCTGTTTCAATTGTTGCTAGGAATTTTCCCTTTTTTTAAAAAAAAAAAAAAATCCTGATGCTTTTTTATATAATAAAAAAAAAAACTTGAATCATTTATTTGTTTATTTAATGCGTTCTTGATTCTTTAATTTATTTCGTTTTACAGCAAGGTTTTTTTAATTGTTAGTGTTACGGATTTCCATGATAGTTTTTAAATTCTGGTTATATTTCAGTTCGTATTATTTCTACTTGTGAGATTTGAATCTTTCATTTAAATAATCACTTATTGATGCGTTGAATTTAAGACAATAGTATCATAAATCCATGTAGTGTTTTGATTAGGTTTTCATCAGTAATTGATAAGGATTATCACAAGATTTTTAAATATCTCTCTATATTTCTGACACAATATGGGGAATGCTATATAATGCTATAATTTTTTTCCTGGAATTATTGCTATTGATTTCAGCATGGTTTTTAAAATATATTAATTATAGCAACTGAATCTCTAAACAAAATGCACATTTATTAACCCCTTTTAACATAAGTAGAAAATTTCTTTGCCAAACTTTTTTGATAAATTTTCTTTGCCCTATTTTACATAAATTTTTTGTTTATAGAAATTGTATATTATACTATTAATACATTGTATTGTTAAAGCCTTAATGAAAAGAGTAGTGAGTACAACCCCTTGTGACAGAATCGCAGCAACTCAGCAACATTGTTGCAGAGCATTATAAGAGTTCTTGCAAAGATATTTTCTTTTGAAAAGTTTTTTTAAAGAATTATTTTTCTTTAATACAGAAAAGTCACAGCAAGAGTTTGTCTTGATAGTCAAATTAATACCTGGGGATTACATGAATATTTTCAAGATTTAGCAACCAAAACCATGCTAGAAGGCTTAAAAATCCTTTCTCTTTTTAAATTGGACCTAGTACTAACAGGTACCAATACAGAAGTATCTGTTAGAAGATTTTTAGGAAAATCTACTGCTGATACTGTGGATAAGAATATCTGCAATAGCTCAATGCCCATAAACAGAATATTTTCAAATGTTCTGCAACAGGACTTATTAATTTATGCAAATGTTCTGCAAACATTTCACAGCGAAAGAAAGTCAACTTTACGTTAAAATACTATATTTTCATTTATTAAAATACAGGATCATACACAGATACACTACATTATTTTTAAACCGAGGCAAACATTCTTGATTTGTTACCTTTTCAATCACTTTTGAAGTGCAAAATTTTGTAAATGACTATTATGATGATGAATTATTAATAAAGTGCCTATGATATGAAGGTCTGAACATTAAAATAAGGGCTGCCTTAAAAATCTGTAGAAGAATGTATGAAATTAGGTTTGGGGATTGTTCTGCAAGACTACCGGAGGGTAGGAGGGCTCACAGGAAAATGCTGTCCATTATTCAAGATACAAATTGTTCTGCAAGGCTTCGTTTGTTCTGCGACGTACGTCACAGTTTTAGGCACTTTCTGCTTCTGGGGCTCAATGTTTAATAATATGAGGATATCATGATTATTACTGATAACAATGTGTATTATACATCACATCACTGAAATTAATAAAACCATGTTTTATTGAGAGTGTTCATAAATATTTGGGTAACATAGGTATCAATCACTGTATAAGCTGTAGATTAGTTAAATTGGTTTCAATCAATTTAGATGATTGCTGACGGATGACAAAGTATGTGTAATGTCATAAATTTCTGATAAGTTCTTTCATTAATTTTTTGTATGTTGCCAAACAATTGTATTTTTTTTAAATGGTTGATTCTTATTTTTTAATAAAAACATTAAAAGAACAATAGATATTGATATTTGACATACTTTTTATAGGTAAAAGAAGGTATGACAGAAAACAGCAAGGATATGGTGGACAAACCAAGCCTATTTTCAGAAAGAAGGTAATTATATTGTCAATAGGAGAAGTATAGAAACTTGACTATATTATTGACTTTTTGTCTGTATTCTTGTTTTCAGAAACTTTTTTTGTGTAAAACAAATGTACTTTAAACAGTGTAATGAAGATTTTTAAGAAAATCTACTGCCGATACTGCACATAAGAGTAACTGCAATAGCTCAATGTTTAATAATGTGAAGATATCACTATTATTACTATTTTTTTTTTTTTTGTGTGTGTTAAACAAATGTTACTTTAACTACTTAACACTGCTTAATTACGCTGCTTAATTACTTTAAGCAGTGTAATGGAGATTTTTAAGAAAATCTCCTGCGATGCTGCGCATGAGAGTATCTGCAATAGCTGAATGTTTGATAATATGAAAATATCACGATTATTACTGATAACGATGTATATTATTCAACAAATCACTGTAATTAATAAAACCATGGTTTATTGAGAGTGTTACTAAATTTTCAGAAAGACGGTAATTATGTTGTCAATATGAAAAGTATAGAAACTTTGCTATAATTATTGATTTTTTGTCTGTATTCTAGTTGTCAGAAACTTTTTTTGTGTTAAGCAAATGTACTTTAAACAGTGTAATGGCAATTTATTTCAGTATGGCTAGATTGAACCTAATAGTTTTATTTTTATTTTGAAAAACCTATAATGCAGGCAATTTTTTTTTTTCATCAAAAGAAAATTTATTTTGTTGATAGGCAGTTTGTGCAAATAAATTGAATTATCTGTGTAAAAAAAAACTTAAAATTGTTTTTAATATAATATATTATATATTTATTGACAATCATGCCAAAATAATTTTTAAAAAACTAAATAACTACAAACTAAATTTTGCAAATATTTGACTATTTTTGCTTGCTTTTTGAAAGGTATGGTAACTACTATAACTTGTATTATATAAGCCTACGTATTATTTAGAAATAGTGGTGGATGAAAATCTACTAAATTGAATTTATTAAACCAAGAATCACAATTGATGAACTACCACTTTAAAATATATATTTGCTGTCTGTTGCAAGTTGGCAAATCTAAACACCCAAGAAAATCTTTTTTGGGTGTTTTTTAGCATTTTCTTTAAAACTTAATTCTAGTGGTGTAATATGAAAATTAAGTAATTCTTTGCCTACAACAAGCTAGCAGGAAAGCTTTGCTTGAATATGAATAATTTAAAAACTTAGAATGTTATGAAATGTTAAATTCTATTTTCTTTTAAAAAGGCTAAAACTACAAAGAAGATTGTTTTGAGAATGGAATGTTCTGAATGCAAATACAGGAAACAGTTACCTATCAAGAGGTGCAAACATTTTGAGATTGGTGGTGATAAGAAGAGAAAGGTATGGCTTTATAGGACATTTTAATTTGTTTTATTTATTTTTTGCTTGATATTTTTTAAATTTTTTGCTATATACATGATTCTTTAACACTATTTTCTCGACACTTATGAATAATTTAAAAGCAGTAAAGGTGTATAAATTTTTAAAGAGTTATAAACATGTTAGTTAAAAAAAATTGCTTTATAAATTTGTTGATTTAAAAAAAAAATTCTGTATTTCACATCTAATAATTTGTTTTGCAATCATTAAGTTCTTTTATAATTGTCATCCTTAGTTAATTAGATTAACTACTTCTGACTCAGTTTTAAAAACTAGATGAGTAATTCCTCCTGAATTAAGTTTAATAGATTTTTAAATAAAAATAGGGTGACAAAATAGGGTAGTAAAAAATGACAAGATTAGCAGTAATCCTAATTTTCTTAAAAATTTGCTTTTCTTGCCTTTTTCTATGTGATCTTAGAAATTAAATATAGGATTCCACTGTTTTTCTCTTCTGTGATCTTCGATTAATCGACTTTTGCTATTTAATAATTTATAAGACGGTAGTAAATATCTCCTACTTACTAGCCTTACTGCACATAGTACTTACTAGCCTTTCCTTCCTATAATACATACCATCAAATTCCTTAAGTTTTAATTGTCAGGTGAAAACTATTTTCCCATTAATAATTTGTCTGGCTCTCTGTTCATATAATAGAAGGGAGGGGGATACACATGAAAAGAGCTTTATATAAATGTGTGTACTGACAAAGGTTTGTCCAGAGCCAAATAAGAGACTGGCACTGGGGAGCTATTTTCTCTTTTGTATTATATAATTTCAAAATTTCTTTTTTTGATTAAAAAAAATTCTAAGAAGATAGGTTTTTTTTCAAGTCGTAATTTTCAATCTTAAATTTTTTCATATCGGGTGACAATATTTTCCACTCTTGTAAATTTACTTTTTATTCACTATAATCCTTGTGTAAAACCAGAAAAATTTTGAAGCTGGATTTTCCTGTGAGAAGAAATTAATATGATGTAAAAATAATTTATAGAAAAACATAATTTAAGTATATATATAAGATGAAAAGTTTGTAATTGTTGCAGGAAATTCCTAAAAATAACCGGTGTTAGAATTGTCAGTAATAGTAATCAGTTATTGGGATTCTAGTTAAATGAGTCTAACCTCAATTATTTTATGAAATTCAACTTTTTGCTTGCAAAATCTAATATTTGACAAAAGAACATGGAACAAGAAAAGGAGATGGAAAATTGCGTGGTCTATATGAAATTAGGGATGTAACAAATATTCGGTTGGCGAAATATTTGGTAATATTATTTGGACAAAGTTATATTTTTTTTTATATCTTTTATGATTACTTTTTCTTAAAACACAGCAGTGTGAAAAAGTTAAATTTAAATTATTAAATTATTTAAAGTTAAATTATTAACTTTAAGTTAAGTTACTTAACTTTAAGTTAATTAACTTTAAGTTAAGTTAAGTAACTTAAAGTTAATTATTTAAAGTTAAATTATTTAAAGTAATATTTAAATTATTTAAAGTTAAATTATTCTTTTTAAGCGTTAAATTTTTTTATTTGAAATTAAGAGCGTTCTTTTTTCCCCCTTCGGCTTTTCTTTTCGCTTTTTCAGAAAACTTAGTTTTTAGAAATGTTTTTATTGGGCTTTAAATATTGTTATTGGTAACAAGATGTATAGCTTTAAATTTTCTTTCAGTAATTAAAATCAGTGTCTAATTTTTCCTGTTTGCTTTTGTATATTGTGTTGCTTTTAAAATATGAGTTTTTTATATTACTGCCGATTTTAAAAGTGTTTCTAATTAAACATTCTCTTTTAACCTAACTTTTGATTAATTCTCAATAATGACTATACTTATTTATTAAAGATATAATATTTATCAATGTTGATTTTCATCTGCCGAATATTCAATATTTGCTGATTATTCAGACGAATCACTATTTTTTACATCTTTAGATAAAATATGGTGTGAATTTTTAGCAATTTACTTGATATTCCTTGAATGTTTGGGGAATATTTTTTTTTCGGGTGGGAGCCCTGACATATGTAAAAGATGTTTGAGCATGTGCTCTTATTCTTAATTTGAAGTTTTCAAAATGTGTGACATTCTAAAAGGATATATATGCTTTCTGCCCCCCCCCCCTCTTTTTTTTAAAGAACAAGTTGAATTGTTTCAACTTGCTTTAAAAAGAAGGGATAATAATTTTAGTTTTCCAAGCCAAAGTAAATTATGTATTTGCTTTGGGTAAAAATATTTAAGACAAAATTATTTATTTTTAGCTCTTGTTTCTAAAGTTTACTTTTTCTTTTCTTATCTGATACACTTCATTTCTTTTACAGGGACAAATGATCCAGTTTTAAAGGGAATAACATCTTTGTACAGTTCTTTGAAATAAAATTGTGTCCTGTCTTTTTTTGTCTTTAATTTGTGCAAATTACTTTAGGAAAAGAAATTGATTCTATTGTATTTTTAGTAATTTAGTGTTATATTCTTTTAATGTGCATTAGGACTAAAAAGTGACTTAATGTAATGTTGCAAAGTGGCTACTTGCACTGAAAATAGTGAAAACTTGCTTTGTTCTTCCCCTCAATCTAAACATTCCATAACTGTCTGTTGGTAGCAGAGTAAAATCTTGAATATTTGCTATCTCTTATAGTAGCTTAGTAAAATATGATTCATAATATGCTGTTTGGTCCGGACAAAAAGAAATTAGTTTCATTTCTGAGAAGAGTTTAAACTTTTTTTTTTTTTTTATTTGCTGTGTTAAGATAAATCTGGCAACTCTTACTGCTAGCTGGCATAAAACTGTAGTTAAATAGAGTAAGGAATTGCTTCTGTGGACAAGATTTCCTGTAAAGGATTGGAGGTGAATTGCACTTTTACAAGTGGTTTAATTGAATTAGGAAAAAAAAGGGTTTTAAGTTGTGCTGGGGCTGTAATAAATTTTAAAGTCCAGCCATTAAAGGTGACTGCTGAAACAAGCAAGTAAGAGTGTCATTCAGATGAGCAAAACTTTATGGTTATTTTAAAATGTTCCATCTGTTATAACCAGCATATCTGCACTTGCATTTCTTCAGGTTATTTATAAGAAGTAAAATCTCAATGTTTTGCTTACTTTTTCCTCAGATTTCTTGGTTTTTTAGATGAAATATAAGATTTTAATAGAAAAAGAAATTTTAGAACAGATTAATTAAAAAATTTTCCCTTTTCCTAAATGATTACCTAGACGTTTTAATAATTTATTCAGCCACATTTTATTTCGACATACCATCGGCCTGTAGCACATGAAAACGCCTATCATTTTATGAAATATTAGCGGGTTCGAATACTGAGAAGGATTCATGCATTCTTATGAGCAACTCTGTTTGCATTTTATTAACATATAGATATGAAGCACTTTCAACAGTATGAAGGAAAAAAATTATTAGTGTGCATGTCCTAATTATAATATTTTTTTTAAATGCTTAAAAAGGTGCTTATTTTTTGCTGAAAAATTTGACTATACACCCTGTTTAATAATCATTTTCTGTCATGTCAAATTATATTGTTTTTACTTGATGCAGGTCTTCAATCAGTCCTAATTAAAAGCCTTAACTGCCAAAACCTCTTCTTGTTGATTGTTTGTTTTTCTACCTATTGGGAGAATTGTAAATGTGCGGTACTAAAAAAAAAATATGAATGGACTTCCCTGGATATCTTTTATACTAATGATCGGATCTTCGCATTCATTCCAAGACTCAATGATTCGAGAGTGATCTCAAGTATGATAATTAATTAGGGCATACGATATCAAGTTGCGAAAGACACAAAAACATACTTTCTCTGAATAAATGTTGTAATTTAATGATAATTAAGAAATATTCCGCTGGTGGCGCTGATGAATGTTGCGCGGGACCAGAGACCCATGAACTCTTGTTGTTACATCTTCTACCCTTTTCTTTGTGTTTCGTGCCGTCTATGTTATTAATAAAAATATATTTCAAAAGAACCTGCTCAAGGTAAGTGAAATTATTTCACACTTAAATTTAGTTCATTATAGAAATGACATTGGTTAAGTAATATTTAACATTGGTGCCGAAAACCCGGCACGCTACTAGATTTGATAATAATTTCGGTATAAAAGCAGAAATATAGCAGTATTTGATTTCTAATTCTTATGAGAATCTTTGATTATTTTTGTTCTAACATATTTAAAGTTAAAATGTCAATTCCAAATCAGAATGTGGTTAATGAAACTACTCGTGCTTTGATGCTCGATAAATTAAAACGAAAGCGTTCAACTATTAGGGGTTTATTAACGAGAACGCTTAATAAGATTAACGAGCAATTATTGTTAGATGTAATTGACAAAGAGGCACTAAATGAGCTTCTTCAATTGTTATGTGAGAAATCGGAACAAATTTATGAGTTAGATATACAAATCGAAAGTTATATCGATGATTTAGATCAGTTAGAGGCAGAAGTAATTTCGAGCCAAGAAATAAGAGAAAAAATTATATCTTCTAAAACAAAAATTAATGCATGTTTAAAATCAGAGTCAGCTATAACGATAAATAATGTACCCTCGGTATCAGAAGCTGTAGCGATAAATAATGTATCATCGGTATCAAATGTACGAAACGAAGCGAGTGTCCGATTGCCAAAATTAACGTTGGAACCATTTGATGGTAAATATGAAAATTGGCAGGAGTTTTGGGGACAATTTGAGGGATCCATTCATGAAAATAGTAATTTATCTAGAACGGATAAATTTAGTTATTTGAAATCATTTTTGAAAGGGTCTGCTTTAGTTTCGATTCAGGGTTTAACGCTATCAGAAACGAATTATGATACTGCTATAGATCTCCTAAAAAAAAGATATGGTCAGAAAGATATTATTGTTAGATCTCATGTAAATAAATTATTAAATATGCATCCTGTTAAATCATGTACTCAGTTAAAAGAATTGCGTCAATTGTGTGATATTTGTTATGTTCAGGTTCGTTCCCTCGAATCAGCTGGAGTAGAATTAAATAGTTATGGGAGTCTTTTGTTTCCTATTTTATTGAAATTAATGCCTGATAGTATAGTTTTAGATTATAATAGGCAAAATAAAAATGACGAATGGGACTGCTTTAAACTCTTGCAGTTTTTAAGAGATGAGATTGAAAATAGAGAAAAAACCCAGCTATTTCGAAGCTCGAACGAAGAAAAAAGTGAATTAATTAAGAAGTACGGCGTCAATAAAGATCATAATTCATGGCGCTCCTTTTCGAAACCGAAAACAAATCCTGCTGCATTGGCATTAAGCGTGGGAGAAGAAGGGGGAAAGGAAATAGATGTTTAAATAAGGAATCAAGTATTAAAGACCTCAATCCCTTTATAGACAATGAAGAAATAATTCGTGTAGGGAGCAGGCTTTTACCCAAATATTGCTTTCAAAAACAGATCGAGACGCAGTTAGATTTCTCTGGATTAAAGATGAAATAGGAGAACAAAAAGAATATAAGATTTTGCGAATGACTCGTGTGATTTTTGGTGCAACCTCGAGTCCATTTTTGTTAGCAGCAACACTTAAGCATCATGCTCAAAATAGTAAAGATGAATTTCCGAAAATAAGTGAATTAATTGAAAACCGTATGTACGTCGATGACCTCATATGTGGAACTGATAGTGAAATTGAGGCCATTGAAATACGAAGAGACATGAAAACGGTTATGCAGAAAGGTAGTTTCAATTTGAGGAAGTGGAAAACAAACTCATCTTGTTTGCAGCAAAAGTGGGATCTGGAGGAAACCACAGAACTTAAATCTTCATCAGGTTGCTGCAAGATTTTAGGTTATATTTGGGACAATAGAAACGATTTAATAAGAATTCCAATCCTAGAACTCAACATATTGGACTCTAATCAGGAAATCACTAAGAGAATGATGCTACAAATAATTGGTAAGGTATACGACCCAATCGGATTAATTAACC